TTTTTCAGCTTTCCAATGAAATAGTTAACACATTAAATAACATAGCTATCATGTATTGCAAAACCAGAACACCAGTCCTTTGTAGCTATGAAGTACAACTACAACTAATAGTCAGGTGTTCACACATTAAATACATACAAATGCATATGTATATACACAAGAAAAAGTCAACTTGGATTAAGAAAAGTCTTGATTCACTAGAGTGGTTCTGCTGTTAGCATAAGATGCAACCCATCTAGCTTCATTTGGTCCATTAAAAAAGAAATAAAAAAGAAACAACAGCTACAAATATGAGCTACTGGTACTTAGATTGAAATTAATACTGCACTATTGGGGGTTAATTGTCATCATTAGCCTTACTAAGCTGTGGCCCTGGCATGAAACAGAACCGAGGCAAGCAAGTTGAGCTGACTGGGGAGAGAGTGGCAATCCGATCACAGAGGTAGCCTACAACTTTCTGATACATGAGGAGTTTCACACATGGTACTATAAACAGATCAACAGCCCGTGGCTGGGGTGGGGAGTCACAGGCCTCAGTAAGGAAGCTACTGTTGTTATTTTGCTGAATGAATATGATATGTCTGTCAAATTACGTTTCAAATAACAATGGTATACATATAGAAGAGTTTTACCATCGACTTTGGTCCAAGAAGCATCTTTGGTTTTTGTTTGTTTTTTTGTCAACAGTGACTCTTAACAGGTCAAAGTACTGAGAATAAATGACTTTTGAAGCCCACTCATAAAAGAGACCTCTACATTGAACTCCTCCTCCACCCTGCTTCTCCCTAAGGTTCAGAGAACATAGCTGAAGAAGTGAAAAAAAAAAAGTCAGAGGAAGATGGCAGGAGCAATGTGGAGCTCTGACTTTGGAGGGTTACACATCTGCTGTACTCCTGACCTCACAGCACGTGTGACAACACACACAAGAGTTACATGCCTACTGTATTCCTGGCCGCGTAGCAGTGTGACGATACACATACACAAGATTGGACCTGACAATACTCTGTTGTGGAATTAGGAAGGGTGGGGCTTCATCCTTCCTTGAGAATGTGTAGGCAGCTGATAATAATGAGGGACAACCCTTTTCTTCCCAAGTGCTCCTGTGAGCAATCCTAATGAAACCCATTAGACCACCCAAAGGAAAAGATGAAGAAGAACAAGACAGGAAAGAAGACAGGGGAACACGGGAAAGAGGTGGGTGAAGGATTAGTGAGGGAGGAGAGGTTGTGTGTGTGTGTGTCTGTGTGTGTGAATATAGTTTTCATTATGAAGTATAATAATGAAATTCATTATTGTGCATAGGTAATATATAATTGTAAAAGGTAAAATGCTTCGAACGTATAATCTCATTTAATTCTCATGAAAGAATACTGTCACTGACCCATTTCACAGATGAATAAAGACAGAGGAAGTGAAAGACTTGTTCAATATCATAACTAGACAGAGTAAGAGGCATGGTACTGGTGCTCATTTTCTCAAATTCTGTTTTTCCAATGGCTTTAAACAGTCTACTCTATGGACTTTTCAGACTCACTCAAGGCAACGTATATTAAGAACTTACGGTTGGCCCTAGGCCATAATAGTCAACTGTAAATTTTAGTCATTATTAACAATTGGTAAAAAATAGTTACATAGTAGGGTGAAGCTTGATTAAATAAATCCATGTGATTCAGTTTCAAGGTCAAGATGTTGATGATGCTCTTCTTACAAACATTCCTAACTATTAATTGAGCACCGATGTCATGGCAGGCACTTTGCTCAGACTCATTGACCTCAGACAGCTCTGCCCTCACAGACCAGAGTCACTAAAAGCCAGAGGAGAGCTACCGTGCAGGCCAGTTCAGCTGGAGGTTAGTCGTTATACAGAGGTCACAAGCACCGTTTGTCTACACTATTTGCTGACGAGCATAGCCGTGGACCTGAACACATCGGCAAGAGGAGCTGGGTGTCACTATCACCACTGGGAGCCTTTTCATTTTGCCTTTCACTGAGCTAAAGAAAATCTTTGGGCCCAGACACAGAGCAATAAACACCGTATGATCTTAGTTATATGTAGAATCTGAAAAATGTCAAACCCATAGAAACAGAGAGTGGAGTGGCGGTTGCCAAGTTCTGGGCGTAGGAGAAATGGGGTGATATTGTTAGAAGGATACAAACTTCCAGGCATAAAACAAGCAAGTCCTGGGAACCTGCTGTGTTCTATGTATGAGTGATGACGAATGTGTTAATCAATTTGGCGGTAACCTTTGCACAATGAATACATGCAGTCCAGTGTTGTGTTATATACTACTAATATACAGAATCCTATCTAGCCAATTAAATATCCTTAAGTAAAAATTACAAGTGAAATATTTTTTTTTTTTTTACAGATTTGACAAATGACCACGTACTATTTCCATTGTCATTCAGGATGTGTGGGGAAGCTTCTCCACAGTTCTGCATTTCTGGGTTTAATTTCGGGCTTTGGAGATCAAAGCACTGGAGTCTCATCTAAGCAGCACTATTTTCAAGCCTATCTTTCTGCTTAGGATCCTAGCCTGTGATTTAAAAACAACAGCCAGACCAAAAACTCTCTCTCCAAGATGCCATTATTATAGCTAATCACTAATCATGTGCTTTCTCTTTTATGTCAGATAGAGTCCAGATGCTAATTCTGTCCTCCAAGAGCTAACTCTCATTCGGCTCTCATTCCTTTCACTATTTCAGCATCATTTAAGCTCTCCACAAGGGTCTCTATCACATGAGAGTCTGTCACCAAGAGAGCAAACACACACAATGGCTGCTGATTTGCAACTGTAGAATACAATAATTATACGGCACAGAAAGATGGTTACTTTTTATCTTCTTATTTACACTAGATCAGCCCCCTCTACCTCCTTTTCCAATTCAGCATGGCTGGTAAATAGTCTTCTGTCTCCTCCCCACCAAATCCAGCTACAGGAGACGTTACTGAAATGTCACCAGATGCTTCATATAGCCAAGGCATCATGACGCAAAAAGAGCACACAACTTAGAAATTAAGTTGCTACTGCTATGAGGCACTACTTACCCCAAAGGTTTTTACATCATCTCATGTATTATTTATAATGATTCCTGGCATACATGGAATCACATGGTAGAATAACTGTGATTTAAGACCTGCTAGACTCCAAGCATCTCCCAACTTACACCTCAGGCCAGAGTGGAGAATACGGTAGAGAGAAGGCAGAGAGGAGTGGACAGATCACAGGAATGTATCATGAGCAGAGAATCTTCACTAGTAACTTATTAAACTAGTATCTGCTAGTGTAAATGTACTTGCTGGGCATAGTGTCAATGCAAAAGACAAATTTTGCCCTAGAAAAGCAAGTTTGGCTACAGGAACTAGAATCTCTTGGGATCAACTTCCGCCCTCCATTGTAAGGATCTATATATGTGGAAGATTTAGTCAGAGAGTGGGCAGGGCCCTGCAGCATAGGAAAGATTTCTGAGACACGATGCCTTTTTAGCAAGACCATATGCAAGATGTGGACATTCTCAAGCTCCCAAGAGTAGAATGTCATAATAAGCCGTGGTTAAGGCACACTTGTATCATGGAGTTGTGCTAAAAGACAGATGCTCAGGGTTCTGTATATCTCAGAGTATCAGCTACTAAATTCATTCATATGAATTGATTCGTCAGATGGTTCTTGTCATGAAGATGGGTTGTGGTGACTGGATTTTACTATGATAGTGGAGCATGATAGTTTTGGCAGAAAGTGGGGTGATATATACAAAGGAAATTATCAGGACTTGATCAGAGTCTTGCCCCCTAAGGAAACAAAGGCACAACCTGAAAGAGCAAGGAGTTTCGGGTGAGGGGGACCAGGTCTGTCAGAACAACAGGCAGGTACTGAACCACACAGAGGCTGCTTAAAGACCCATGTGCTGTCCTTCCCAGCACCACTGAAGATGGATACTAGGCACGGGGCTAAAGGATCAGATATGAAAGCATCCTCACTTCTGTCTTCAAGAGTAATGAAATGATACAAGCAAATAAAGGGCACCCCTGAATTAGTAACCTAACAACCGCTGCAGTACAATCTGAAAGAAAATATTGTGGTGGTCAGACAGAGGTTTTGTTTTCAGACTGAGCATCCTTTATCAAAGCTCCCTGGATGGACAAGTAGGTGTTGGGGAGGAAGGTGTACACTGTCAGACAGCTCTCCTGGATCTGAGTGTTTAAGGACAAACCAAATCTTAGGTTTTAATGGCCATATCTGATGGCAATCTTTCCTTGGAGATGAGAAATGAGATTTCCAGAATTCGGAAGATTTGTGTCCTAAAATTGTCAAGACACTCTTATCAATAATATAACTGTAGTGAAGTACAGCTCTGATTCTATGGAAGGAAACTTCTACCAGAATCAAAGTAAAAGATACTTATGAGCTCATAATTGGACTTGGCGGAGCTGCCTCCAGATTTTCAGGGCAGAATTTTATTTTTGGTTTGCTGCCTCTCACTTCTCTGTCTCTGTGGACAAAAGTTTCCGAGGCCTCAGATAGAAGAGTAAGTCATACTCTGTCCAGGAAGCAATCCCATGGTGTCTTTATAACTCCTTAGGCCACTGTGAAATTAGTGAACCTAGAAGCTGGGACCAAACAGATTTACATTCAAAACATTTTCTAGTGTAGAACTCTAAGACTTACTACAGACAAAAATGCACAGATCAATACACAAAATGAATCAAAGCTGCTGTTGCTAGATTTTTTTTCCCCCAAGCATTAAAGGGAGAAGTCACAGCCCATGTGTGACAGGACTCCCCACTTCAAAGCATAAATTCCACCTTGCTGTCAAATTTGAAGTCGCCTGCCAGCTTCTCACGAGTATCTGGAGCCATAAACTTGAAGAAAATGGCAACTATTGCTAAAACTGTATTTTATAGGTCAATTTCTAGGACTCTCCACTCCTTTGCTTTTATTTATAAGACAGTCTAAAATATAATAAATTAATAAATAGAAATTGTGGAATTTTGGTCTTACCATTCTTGTCTGCTCTCCTCAGTATCTGGAAAGAAAAGAAGAAAAAAATTATCATTTTTTTTTTGTTTGCTGGAGCTGTAGCTCAGTGGTAAAGTACTTGCCTAGCATATGTGAGACTCTAGGTTCAAACCCGAGGGGGAAGAAAGGATATCTTTTTCCCCTAAATATTACAATGAAAATTTTATTCACACATCATTCATCAATCATTAAACGAATGAAACCCCAATTGTAAATGAATGTTTTTCAACTGAGATATTCCTTTTTAAATATCCCCTATCCAGAAACAGCCCAAATGTCTATCGATGGGTAAACTGATGAACCAAGTGTGCAGCCAGTACAATAAAGAACTAGAGGGCAATTTAAAAAAGAATCAGCCATCAAAAAGATTCTGCATGTCAAAATTTGGATGTATCTCAAAATAATAAGGATGAATAGAAAACCTAGACACAAAAATGCCTAGGTGTATGTCCAGGTGAATACAGTTTTTAGAAGCATAATAACATTTAGTGACAGAAAGTAAATCAAAAGCTGTTTGACCACAGTCAAGGCTGAGAGCTATGGATTATAAAAGTGTAGAAGAAATTGTTAAGGCTAATAAAGATATCAAATTATCTCAAATGTGATTGTTTCATTATAGAGGGCGTGAGTGCTCACAGAATAGCACTAGAGGAACCAGGAGTGTTAATCACGAAAAGTTGTCACTTCGATGGAGGGGGATGTATAGCTGTTTTCTTCCCAGAAGGCTAGGAGGAAGTGTAAGCGACCTGGTAACCTCTGTTATCTGTAGAGCCAGACCTCACTCAAATCCCCAGAATGCTTATCCCAGACTCTCCCTCCTAGAGCTTCTCTTTAATTCTCAGTCAATAGAATCAATCCTTGGGAGGATATCACCTGTACTTTTGCCTTTACAGGATTCTCAACTCTACACTGTCTCTGTCAGACACCACACCAGAACCCCAGCCCTTAAGCTAGAGAACCTATCTTCATGCTAGACGTCACATGTACTTTGCAAAAGAGTTTTGATGTAGTCACACCTTAAGGTTTATCATATACATGGGATTGGGGTAATTGTTACCAGGAATATTGCACTGTATTTACATATGTACAAAATAAACTGGTTTGATGCTGAACCACCTTGGCTAACTAAGTCATGCTAAACAGAGTTTCCATTCTTGCCTCTCTGCAGCTCATTTTGCTGCCAGCCATGATGCTTGCAGGGACCCCCACACGTCATATGTTAAAACCCAAACACATTTATATCTTAAATGTAAGTTAATTGTCATCTCAATAAAACAGGAAATAAAAACAGAAAAGAAAAATAATAAATGACTGGCAAATAGCCCACATATCTACACTATGCCTTACTTGGATATAAAAATGTCATTTTTGGCCCTCTTTAAGGTGTTTTGATGTACAGTGGTTGTTTGGCCATCCGGTATCCATTACTCAGTGGTAATGACTTAGAATTATTTCCTGGGAAACTAGTCTTTCCTCTGCTCTTGGTTTCTATGCTTAAGGGCTGGGTGGAGCATGAGGCCTGACAGAGTATTACATCTCTCTGCCAATGTCATTGATGGGTCAGGAGCACTTAGGGCCAATGAACTTCAACAGTCCGTGTTTGAACTATTAGGAGAAAGATAGTCGTTGCTTGCCTCTGGATTTGATGCTGAAAAGATATAAGCAAGTTGCTGCCCTAGGACACTGTTATCATACATGCTGTGGGTTGGACTGGTGTTGTCTTTTTGTTGTTGCTATTATTTTTGTTTTTCCTGAAAACAGTTGTTGAAATTCTAGTATCTTAGTACCCATGACTGTGACCTTATTCGGAATTGGGTCCTTCATGAAGTATGGGCCCTGATGTAATAACTTTATGAAGAGACAGAGCTTCAGAGACACAGACACGAAAGAGGGCTCATGACAGAGCGAGGTGCTGCAATCCTGGAGTGATGGGGGCTGACGGCTGCCATCAAAAGTTAGAATTGTGGCACACAGCGGCACCACTCTGCAGTCTCGGGACAAACCATTTCCCACCAACATATCCACTATGCCCTTCTGGCCTCACAACTCCGAGGTCTCATGAGTTCTTATGTGCATGCTACCCTGTCTGTGGTAGTTGCCATGGCCCTTTTCTGCAATTAATATATAACTTGAAATGTATCAACACTTCTGAAAGCTGTGTAGAGAGGGTCAGACAAAGCACTCTCTGAGCTCCTGGCTAGTCCCCAAGGAGACAACACCAACTGTTTTTTATGAAGGCCAATATTCTGTTATACATTCAAACCTTAAAGAGTTTTTGGGTGTTTCCTTCTATATGGAGCAATTAAATTAACCCATGTGATGCAGGCACCCACAGGAAAGCAACTAGATGACATAATGTGTCTCACACACACCTGCAGAGAACGACCATCTACTACTGTAGATACAAACCTAGCTATGCAATACCAATGTTATTTCTAATGACTCTTGTCCATGAAAGCTTTCTCGGCAGCAGATGCATGCCACTCTGTCAGGCGTAAATGGCTTCTCCATTTCATAGACTAAACCGAATTACTACAAGAGGATTTCATGGTAAGATCTATGTTTAAAGGAGACCAACACATGCTCTTTTTATTGCTTGGAGTAGTTGCTGGTGAAGACATTAATGATCAGTTTTTCCAGCAGACAGCTTCCTGTCTTCCAAAATCGAAAAGCTACAGACAACTCAGGGAAATGGGAAGCACAACTCTTGTCTTTGATTGACCCTTATGTTTGACTTTTGAATCCTATTGTGCCCTCATGAGTGTGAAATGACTAGAATAGAAACAGCCACACATCAAGGAGTTGGACCCAGGACTTCTATCATTTCATTGCATAGATAACAACCAGAGGTAGCACCCAGACTCTCAGAGATGAAATTAAGACAGTAGCTCATGTTATTAAACTCTTGTAATTAAGTATGGATAGAACTGCCTCTCCTGCAAATTTTGCCTCAGAGCTCACAAAGTAATAAGAAAAAAAAATGCATTGCTGATGAGAATGGATCTCAGTACGCAATGCTACCACAGTGAGCTAATCTTAATAGCTGCTCTGACTGGAGGCACAGTAAATAAATTTAAATATGTTCAGGCAGGAAACATAAACCCAAGGGATACTGCACTTTTCTATAACTTAAAGATTATCATACAGATCCCCCCTTTATTTTTTACCTCCAAAGGTAGTCTTTGACGCCCATAAACAAAATTCCTTATTTCTCACTTTAAATTATTGAGGACAGACTTTAAACATAAATGCTATCTTGAAAGCATAAAAAAAGTCACCATTCACTGAATTGACAAATGCCTCAGACAGGGGTGCAGGTTAAGATTCAAGGATTCAAGATAAGATGGGGTCTCAGTCAACTGACAGGATCCAGGAGACTGGGATGTCCAGCAGAAAAGGGTAGCTCATACAGAGCATCAGCAGATACACGGAAATAAAGAGCTAGGGGATGAGTGATGGTGCACAGGCGTGGGCACTCAGTAGATCATTTGATACCACACCACTGGTTGCGCTCAGGCTGCAGCAGCGTTAGCCCTGGAAAACACAAGACTAAAATGTCACTAATGCATTCTCTTCCATTCTTCTCAGTTTTGCCCAGGGTAAATCCTGCGTGGAAAAACACGGCAAAGGCCATGCTTATCTAGCCCTTCACTTGGCATTTTCCAAAATGGACAATCTCATTTAAGTAATTCGGTGTGTGCGTGTGTGTGTGAGAGACTGGGCAAGGTAGGAGACATGGCTATAGCAGCATTCAGTCACAGAATCACGGTGTCAGAGACGCCTGTGTGCTGACAATGCATCCATGTCACCTCCCACACAAACAAGTATGTGGCAAGCCTCAAAGTCAAACACTGTTTAGAAGAAGCTATTACTCATTTTTTTTAAAACCAAGTTTTGTTAGGCCACCTGCCTTGCATGGTTTATACACCAAGGGGGGGGGAACACATGGGTGTCAAACTGTAAAGCCTCCACTTTTTTCCTGACCTTCCAGATCCAATCCCACTTCGCCAGAAAAATGGAGAAGTCCTTTTTCCTTCTCAGTTAAAAGTCATGAAAGGTGGCGGTGTGTTTGAGCGGTAGAACACCTGCCTAGCATGCACAAGGCCCTGGGTCAGATGTCCAGCACTGGAAAGAAAAGTCACCGGGGATCCATTTGAAGAGGACAGAGCCATTGCATGAGCAGCGATGCAACTCATTTCTTTTGGAATTTCTCTTGTGTCGGGAGCAGAACTGAAATTCTCCCCACCGCACAGCAACAGTGCAGATTAATCAAGAGCATCACCTACGCCAAGGACTCACATTTTAAAAGTGGCTTTATTCTCCGTTATCTGGAATAAGGGAAGTTGGGGACAGTATTCAAAAAGAAAAGTAACTGTCAGCCTTCTGATGCTGTACACTGGAGTCAGTCTGGTCCTTTCCCAGGACTGGCATGTGTGCACTGTGTGAACATGCCCAGCAGTACTGTGCCAGCATGTTTGGATACCAGCACTCAGAAGAGGTCCTCTAAGTCTCATCCTCAGTAGGTACTCACAAGTAGTTACGATAAAATGATATGTAATTCTGCCACTTTGGGGGAAATAATGTAGATTATATTTGTGCAGACCTTACATTAATTTGTGAGTTTAGCTACAGCTCTTTATGAATTTAAACACTGACATACCATAGTACTTCAAATGTATACACAGGTGTCCTTTTTTTCCTTTGTTTTCTAGACCAAGACCCCATAATGACAACAACCTTAGGGTAAGTATGAGACTCATGGCTATTGTTGAGCATAAGGTAAGAAAAATGAAATGAAAGGCAATGGCTTAGGAAATCTGATTTTTATGTTCATATCAACCATTTATCTGTAGTTTCTAAGTAGCTTGCTGAGTCTAGTCATATCATCAACAGTACCTCAAATGAGGTTAAAGTAATTTCTCTAAGAAGTCTAAAGATTGACTGTCAATGATACTTGAATGTAAATACTAGGACTCAGTTCCCCCAAAATTTGGAAATTCGTCTGTGAGGTGCAGAATGTCCTCCAGTGACTTCATATCTTTTCTGTTTTAGAAAAGGTAGTGTCTTCCACCTTTTCCCTGTAATCTCAGTAGAATTCAGACAGCAATCGTTCTTAGCAATGCTACTAGAATATACTAAATCTAATCAAATCAAGTGATGTATTTATGTCTCACATTTTGTTTTTGCTAAAAGCAACATGATCCAGAAATGAATAATTCAGAGATCCCTAAATAACCAATCCTTTTTCATGTCACACAATTCACAGGAGTGTTAGATTTCTTCACAAAATAACTCAGAAATGTGTAAACAACATATTTTCTCTCCAAGAAAAAAACCCAACTGCAGTTAATCTTTTTTTTTTTTTTTTCACTTTTTGAGACATTTCACTGAAAAACAAGCATGTTCATGGCTCTCCTATGGAATCAGGTAGGCTCACCTCCCCACCCCCAGTTCTGAAAATAGAAGGCCGGGGAGCTCTGTGCAAAGATGAAAGTTCCTTCAGGACAGGGCCCTTACACTGTTTATAGAGCTCAGGAACAGCCTTACATATATAACAAGTGAGATTTAAAGCGTTTTAGAAAACTGGACTTAAAGACTTGAGCTGAGGATGGTGAGTCTGTCAGGGTGGCTGGCACGCCTCTTTCAATCTGTTCCTCACCAGAGTGTCACTAGGATTTGTTAGATTCATAAGATAAAAAATGTCACAAGGCAGCTCTCAGTATTCTTGGAGGTCAGAGCAGAAATCAGGCCCAAATGAATGGGGTCCTACTTGAGCTCAGAATTCACTTCTTTTCTGATTTGTTTTCCTCCTCATAACGCTCTGGATGAGCTAGGCTCTGACTTCTTTTTTTCCATTTTTAATTAGTTTTTATTTTACATATTGATCCCAGTTCCCTCTCCCTCCCTCCTAACCCCTCTCCTTCCTGATCCTGGGGATTGCCTTCCCGTGTCTAAACCTAGTTTAGTCCCTCAAGGGTTAGGCCCTGAATGGGAGGGTATGAAGAACTAATACTAGCTAATTAAAGCATTGACTGAACCTATGTGATGTTCTTTTTACTTTTATTTTTTCCATAAAAACAAACTATAACAATTTGGTTCCACAAAGAGTGGGAACAAGATACTTGTGTTTTTGAGGAAAGAAAATGGCTGACCCCCCAAAGCCCAAATCTCATGTTGGAACTGCATGGTGATGAAGGGAGAAGGCTGTCTTTGAACCTTCGATCAAGTGTCTTACACAAGTCTTAATTATGGTTATGTATTTCTCTAATGATTAAAAAATCTAGATCATTCAATACAAAGTGAGGACTCCTTCATCCCCCCCACCATTATCTTCAAAATCTCCAACTGGTCATTATGATATTAGTGTTTGATTTTCTCATGGTTTTATTTTGCACAATCAAGTGCATTTGGATTGGACTTTAATAAGAAATGATGGCTTGGAGAGGGGAAGGGCAGGGACAAATAGAGCTCCTTGGTGTATGTTGCCCTTTATCCCACATGCTAAATAAGCGGTGGCTAGTCTGTCCCCACCGAACCAGACACTACCTGAGTGAACAGAGTGAATTTGACAAGTGAGCTGCAGAGGGGAGAGCCAAAGCCCAGAAGGCGTGCAGCCCGGGTACAGGTAAGCCAGGGAAGCTAACAAGGCAGCAGGGTGAGAAACAGAACTGACACAGAGGACAAAGCGAAGCAAGAATGGAGAGGCAAATAAGATCTAAAACTGCTATAGAGTGACAAGAAACCACAGCACAGGGGCAGAAAAACAGCACAGAAAGAAAAGAATGGTCGTGTTAGAGATGCAGAGGAAGGAAGTCAATTCCTAAGCAGGGAATGGGGCCAAAGGGGAACCGTCAAAGGCTGAAAGAGAAGATAATGACAGCAATAATTACAATTTAGGCTCAGGGGAAGAGAATCCTGGGGAAAAGAGGGGGGCACCAAATGGAAAAGACTCAATAGCATAAAATGGACTGTGGCTACCGTTGTTAAAGAAAACGCAAATATGTTCAAAGGAATTGTTTTGGAGGCAGCTGGGAGAGGCTGGAGGGGCATCAAAATTTCTAAGCCTTCCGTCAGCGCTCCCCAGCACGAGTGGCGGTGCCTATCAGCAAACGGGGCAGCAGGGATGAGCTGGGAATCAAGTCCTATACTGCCCAATGGAGACCCTGTTTCCACTCCATTCCTGCGGAAGCCCAGGCTGCTGGAAAGTCGAACTTTTTGGTCTCCTTAACGCTTGTAATCAAAGCTGCAAGTCTGGGGCAGCTCTTTTTACAAGTTGGGTGACAGTCCTTCCTCTGACATTTGTCTAGAGTCTTCTGGGGGGCGGGGGCTACAGGTAAGAAATAGTTTGCTTGGAGGACTGAGCTCACACCACCAGCAGCCAGAGGCTGCGCCCGACCGCTCCCCTCTCAAAGGGCTGATGCCTAAGGAGCTCACCTAACTCCTTCGTCTATACTTACATCGAGAAAGATGGACATGCCTTTGGACAGCTGCAGGGCAGAGCTGAGCTCTTCGGAGGAGTTGTTGGAGGACGGCGATGTCTCCCGGGAATCCTCCATCCTCTGGAGCCCCCAAGCTGACGGGCGGAGACTGACTGGGAGGGATGCAGCGGCTCCGACCTGGAGCTGTCTCAGCTGCTGCCTCCCCGCGCTCGGATGCGAGTGGGTGTTCGCTCTGCATGCGCCTCCCTCGGCTCAGCGCGGACTCTCCTCCCTCTCCCGCCCCTGGGCTTCAGCACACTGGCTCTCACCACCCCCTTGCCATGAGCCGAAAGCGCCTCACTGGGGATCCGACTCATTCCTGCACTTAGCAACAATGTAGCTCTCCTTGCTTGTGAGCATTTCCTGGCTCTGGCACGCCCTTAGCCTCATGCCCGCGGTAACCCTCTGGGACCCTGCCCATCACAAGATACCTTACAGAAGAGACAAAACCAAGGCTTTGTCCTGAACAGTCAAGGGAGGGGTCAGAAGCTGGGGCTGGGGTGGGGTGGGAGGCAGGAATAGAAAGAAGGAACCTAAGAGGTGGAAGCTGGACTCTGCTAGAACTTCCCCCTCCCCCATCCCCAGTTCCTCTCAGGAAGGGATGAATAGTTCAGTTCAGAGTTAAGGCACTTGACTGGGTTTGCTGATCTGCCCAAGCCTGCCTTAGTTACTTTGTTATCTTGTGACCTAGCAAACGGCTAAACCTTTAAACTTCAATTTTACTAATCCGTAAAATGATCATCTTGTTGGTGCTTAGCGTATAGTTCTGATGCTTACACACGGTGACACTTGTAGGATGAGGCAAGCCAGGCACATCACAGACAAAATGTAGGGAGATAGCCCTGCTGGAGCCCTGCTCTGAATCTAGTGTGTACGAAGAATGAGTTTGGCTGCATGTTGGAATTACTCAGAGTATGTGTCAACTTCAAAATGTTGCCACAGATGTATTATTTTTCTTTCGGCTTCTCTTCATTCTGAGGCAGGTGCAGAAACGGCCTTACAGCTGCACCTTTGCAGTGGAGAGTTTGTTTGTTCCAGGAGTCAGAACTTCTACGGAGGAAGCTTGGTCATCTTGAGCTACCATCCTCTAGGAAAGCCCCAGTTAGTTATATGGAAAAGAGTATGAACACAGGTGTCTGACTGAGAGGTCCAACCGAGCAGAGCCTCGGTATCACCTTAAGGACACCACCCAGCTCCTTGAGACGCCCCTAGTAATCCCAGTCCAAGCCCCAGACATCATAGATACTCAGACCAATTCCAAGACGGTAAGTGCTATTCCTCACGGAACTTGGAAGCACAATGAACTGTTCACTGCAGTTTACAAATAAGTTTTGGGCATCGGCCTGAAGCAGGCAGCCCAAATAAAAAAAGGGCACCTCCCTCAAAATCAAAACGTAAATTAAGGCCTGTGCTTTACACTCAGATTCAAGTTCCGCTAGAATGTGGTTGTAGTATGTATGTATGTATGCATGTATATAAAGCTTCTCGAGCAATCCTGATGAGCCCCGGATTAATAAGCCCCTAAAGAGGAGAATTGCAGAAATGAGGCAGACACTAGTGAACTCAGACCTGTAAAGTTCCTGGAGCCAGCACTGAGCTTCATTAAGGCTGGGGTCAGAAACATGAGGCTTGATTAGGGGAGATATTGATTGGAGCTGTGCTTTGAGGACTGCTAATCTTGCAGCTTTCTGTATTTATGCCTTATTAACTGCAAATTTGCTTATCTGAACAATTGGAACAGATTCTTTCCTTTGACAGTTATATATCAAAAAGAAATTGAAGTCATTAAAAGTCTAGCCAACCCTTCCAAAATAAATAAATAAATAAGTAAAAATCCTGCTCATTCACATCACATCACAAAGCAAATGGGATACTGATGCTGATGATGAATGTTATTGAGTTTATAGAACATCATGTGTGTGCTCGCTTTTGACTAAGGAATATACTTTTTTTTTTTTTGTCAGTAAGTGCAGCCTAAGTCTGGGCTTTCTAAGTTTCTAAGTTGCATGGGTCTCTCTGCCTTCAAATTCAGTCTTGTGCATGGAAACAAGCATGGGTGATAAAGAAACTTTTCTTTGATATAAATGGAAAACAGAAAAACGATCCATCACCATTGTCCAAAACTAGAGAACTAGCTGCAATACTTCAGTACATGTCTGCTCCCTTTTCTAACAAGACATAACATTTTATGTACCCGTGGCTCTCCTTATTTCTCCTAAGGGGTCATTAAGAAGGAGCATGGGCAGGCTGGAGAGATGACTTAGTGGCTAAGAGCCCTTACTGCTCTGGAGAGGACCTGGGTTCAGTTCCAAGCACCCACAAGATGACTCACAATTGTCTGTAACTCAGTTTACCCACCTGATATACATGCGTACCTTCAGACAGAACGCCCATACATATGAAGTAAATAACATAAAAAAACATGGGAAATGTAGGGGTAGCAGCGTGGCTCATCCAGTAGAGGGACTTTGCATGAAATCCTGGCTGAGTTCAACCTCATAATTCATGGACAGTGGAGGAAAGAGGAGATTATTTCACAATTGTCCTCTGACCTCTGCAGGGAATTAACAGCATGTGTGCCTGAAAATAAATAACACACAAATACACACACTCACACACACACAATTTTAAAAGAAGGCATGTAAATTATTAAACAAGCTGCTGGTCATTATTTCTTTAATGCTTTCCACATGAATTATATTACCTTACAGCTGACTTATTTTTATGATGGGTGTAATGTTCAAGGAAGGTTCCGCTAGAAATGGATGACAATTAGATTCTCATTCACAGCCAAATTCAATAGGCTTTACAGAGTGGTAAGCAAACGTAATTTTAGTTTTCTTTTTACCTAGACAGCGAGCGTTTTGAAAACTGTTTTCACACATCGTTTTCCTGAAACACAGATGCTGTACTGCTGTGCATAATATCAGTTGCAAACAGCAGACAGCTGACTGGAGGGAGGAACTGTATCTTTTTTCCAAGTTATCTGTAATGAAGGCCTCAGAGGAGAGAAAGCAAAGGAGGAAGGAATGCAGTTTCAGAATATAGCTCTCAGACTTGCTATAAGACTGACATGAAGGTGTTTGGAGCATTTCAGCAGATGATGGCCATGGAGAAGCTTATTGAATTTCAATGAATCTCTGCCTCATGGAGGAATTATTATCTAAACCATTTTAGAATGCCAGGGATCTATTTTATTTATACTTTAAATCTAGGGAGTGCTATCCTTCAGAGCAATGACTCAGGATCCTTCCCGTCTGGGTAATGGACATTCTGTTGCTTTGGCAACCTCAGATCCAAACTCACTTTTTATCTGGGGACCCGAATCCAGGGTGTGGAACTGAAAACAGGCAGGGCTCACATCTTCTGTACAATGGAAGATGGTTCCACTGATAGAATCTAGAGCAGAGATTGAAATGTAGGCTCAGCGAACAGCGAGCTTAAATTCTTATGTAACATAGGGAAATACATTTGTTGATTAAAATGTTTACACAAAAGTGAGTGTGGCTGGGCCACAATGCTGGAAGAGCTATGCAGACAACTCAATTTTGTGGATGAGATTTTCCCTCTGATTTCTTTCCTGGCAATTGAATTACTGGTATTTAGAAAACCCACTGAGTTTTTACTGTGTTGATTTAGTATCCTGCAACTTAAGTTATTTATAAGACCTAAGAGTTTTCTGGTAAAAGAATTGGGATCTTACAAATATATGATCATGTTACCTACAAATGGGATAACTTGACTTCTTCCCTTCCTATTTGTATCCCCATTATTTCTTCCTCTTGTGTTATTGCTCTAAGACTTCAAGCGCTGCACTGAATAAAAGTGGAGAGAATGGGCGTTCTAGCTTGTTCCTGATATTAGGGGAAATGTTCTCAGTGTCTTATACAAATTGAATAATACGGTCCATAGCTTCTCTTGTGCTGAAATACATTCCTAGTTTCTTTAGAGCTTTTAACATGAAGAGCTTCTTAACTCTTCTGAAGACCTTTACTATATCCCTTGAGATGACCATGTCAGGCCTGTCCCTGAGTTCATGTATATGCTATATTTATTGACTTGAGCATGTTGAACTATGCTTGTGTCCTTCCGTTAGAAACAACTTAATTGGGAAATTTTGCATCTGTGTTGACCATGGAAATTGGTCTACAGTTTTCTTTTTTTTTTTTTTTATTGTTATTCTACCCCATTTGATATCAAGGTAATATTGGCTTAACAGAGTACACTTCATAATGTCCCTTCCCTTCTAATTTGTACAACAGTTTGAGGAACATTGATGTCTGCCTTGGTTTGTTTCTTAGTTTTTATTGCTATGAGGAGACACCATGACCAAGGCGACTTTTATAAAGGAAGCATTTGACTGACATGGCTGGCTTACATTTTCAGCGGTTCAGTCTGTATTCATCATGGTGAGGAGCATGGCAGCCTGCAGGCAGATGTGGTGCTGGAGAGAGAGAATGACATCTTGGCTTGCAGGCAACAGGGGCTGTATCCTGAGCCATCCTTTCGGTGACACACTTCCTTCAACAAGACCCGACCTCCTAATAAGTGCTACTCATTTTGGGGGCCATTTTCTTTTAAAGTGCCACAGTGTTGAATTGAGCCAGGACTCTAACTGGTCCTCTGCTTTACTTTATTGGAAGGTTGGATTTTGTTTGTTTGTTTTGTTTTTGTTTTCCATTGCTTTAACCTTGTTGCTTGTTATAGGCATATTTAAGTTGTTTCATCTCCTCTTAATTTAATTTTGATGAGTCCTGCACTTAGAAATTCATTAAATTAAAAATATTCAAGTTGTTTTCAAAGTATTCCCTTATGATCCTTTGTATTTCAATAGAATCTTCTGTCATGCATACACCCCTTAGCTCCCGATTTTACTAACTTGAGCCTTTTGTTTGTTTGTTTGTTTGTTTTTTGGCTGATTTAGCTAAGGAATTGTTCATCTTATTCCATAATAGCTTAACAAAATAAAATATCTGGCAATAAATCTATACCTAAAGTAAAAACCTTAAAATGCTGAAGAAATTGAAGACACTCAAAGAAAGACCTCCTGTGTTCCTGAATTAGCAGACTTAATATTGAAAAAAATGGATGAATTACTTAATAAGGCT